TGGGTAATTGTGGTGCCACCCCGGCATGTGTGCGTTAGTTCCACCCACGCTGGGGGGGAACCAGGTTGAGAGCCTGCCCGCAAACAGGACCATCTATTAAGGTGATCCCATTTAGAGCAGCGGCAATAACATTTCCTGCTCAGCCACAAACCTTGCTGTGTGTCTCTAGACCAGTCACTGGCTCTCAGCCTCACCTACCTCACAGGCTTGTTGTTGTGAGAACAAAAGTGTAGGGATCTTGCATTCCACCCTGCGTTGCCGATGCTCACATGGGCATTGTGCCACCGAGCCTCAGGTGAAGAGAGCCAACAGGTGTGAAGGGCAGCTGTGCTCATGTGCCACTTGTGGGTTTCCTGGAATCTTTGGCCTGTAGGGCCGGCCCTGTTGTGAGACAACTTCAGCCTCCGCACGCCCCCTGCAGCCAGGTGCCACCTTCACACCACATGCTGCAGCCACCACCACATGCCCCCCTCTGCCACCGCTGCATGCCCACCTCCGAAAACAATGTCTGCCACCTCCATGGAAGCACAGGCACCATCCTGTTGTCATCACTGCGGCGCTGGAGGTCGCTCACTGCGCCATCATGACACCCACAGTGGGCACTGGGCGCCCACAGTGTGGGGCCCAAGTCAGCGCCCCTGTCCATGGGGACTAGTATTTGCCAGGCTGAGGCCTACCCAGATGGGTGGGGTATGAATAATAAAATTGTTGTTATTACTCCTACTCCTCCTGTTTTTCCCTTTACCTCATGGCCTTGATCCTTCTTAGGAACGGAGCTTTCGCCAGCATAGACCGCCAGGAGGGGCAAAAAGAAGATGGGAAGGGGAAAAAAAGCCAAAGATTGCCCAGGGCATGGTGCCAAGTGTGCCAGGATGGTTTATGCCAGCAGGCTGGCGCTGGACCAGTGCCCATATCACTCTGTCCAAACACATGGCTGCAGGCTTTGTAAACCAAAAGTGCCTGTTGACCTTTTCTGGGGATGCTGCCAGGCTGGAAGAGATTGTTATAGATCAAAGCCAACTCTGGAACGAGCTGATTCTTGCAGTTGGCACAGAGAGAGAGAGAGAATAAAGTAACACCCTATTAATAGAGATGGGGAATTGGGTGTGATGCTAAAGAATTCCTACCAGCCATTTGTAGGAATGCATCGTCCTCTCCTGTGACACTTACCCCGAATTATTGTGTAGGAACACAGGAAGCTGACCAGGCCCAGTTTTCGGTTTGATGAGGCCCTAAGCTACTGAAGGTAATGGGGCCCTTTATATGTCCAGCTGTCCTTTGTCAACAACAAATTGTCGCTGTTTTTTGTGTTGAATATATGCTATATGGTAATGTATCGACCTGTAGGGACGCGGGTGGCACTGTGGGTTAAACCACAGAGCCTAGGGCTTGCCGATCAGAAGGTCGGTGGTTTGAATCCCCACGACGGGGTGAAATCCCGTTGCTTGGTCCCTGCTCCTGCCAATCTAGCAGTACGAAAGCACGTCAAAGTGCAAGTAGATAAATAGGTACTCCGGTGGGAAGGTAAACGACGTTTCCGTGCGCTGCTCTGGTTCATCAGAAGCGGCTTAGTCATGCTGGCCACATGACCTGGAAGCTGTACGCCGGCTCCCTCAGCTAATAAAGTGAGATGAGTGCCACAACCCCAGAGTCGGCCACGACTGGACCTAATGGTCAGGGGTCCCTTTACCTTTACCTTTAATGTATGGACCTAATAGGTATCTAAAGCCATCTGCACATCACAAAATATGTATTTTATCAAAGTAATTGCTGAACTGAAATACAATTAAGAAGTATACTAATAGTGAAATACAATTAAGAAGAAGTTTATTAATAGTGAAATAATTATTAAGCTCTAACTTAAAATGATTGGGGGCCCATTACTTACATAGTAGGAGCCTACACAACAGAAAACAATGTTGCTGTATGTAGGTTTTATTTTATTTTATTTTATTTTTATCTTATATTTTGGAAATGTACATCCAGTTTTATTTCACCTTTAAATTTTTGGAGGGCCCCCAAAAGACAGTGGGGCCCAAAGCTATAGCTTGTTTAGCTTACACGTAAATCTGGCACTGAAGCAGTGGCATCTGTGGCTCCATGCTAAGCTGTAAGAAGCTATCCCTTCTTACACACAGGGCTGGCACATCCGCAAGGCAAGGTGAGGTGACTGCAGGATCCACAGGGGCAGCCTGTTGCTGCCACAGTGGTTGTGACAGCTGTGTCATGTACTTTGGAAGCCAGATCTGTTTTCTCCTTGGCAGCCCCCCCCCCATGCTGCCACTACAGCGGCTGCTTGGTGAATAGGAGGCGCTGCTGGTCTCTTCCCACCCTTGTTTCCAATGTAGAGCTTCACTCGCTCCTTCTGCTTTTTATGGTGCTGGTTTTTATGAGGCCCTAGGAATGAAGAATGTCCTTGTGTGCATCCCTCGAAGGAGCCAGTTCAGGCCCCAGTGCAGAACTGAGAAAACAGGGATGAATATGGTAAGGAGCAAAGCCTGGGAGTTTTATAGATGCTCTGGCATCTCCTCTCAGAGCAAGGTTTCCTCAGACCACGCTTGGATAACCTTCAGCCACCATGGCGTGTAAAATCAATGCAGAGAAGAAGAAGTTCAGTTTTAATACCCTTAAACTACTGGGCTTCCAGACTTGGGGAGGAGAAAAATGTAAAGAAGGAGGCAGAGGCACCAGCCCCAGGGAAGGAAAGAGACATTATTTTATTTTATTTTATTTTATTTTATTTTATCCATTCCATTCTATTTTACTTATTTCACAGAATTTACATGCCACTCGGTTGTTAAAAAATCAAACAAACCTCAAAGCAGTTTGCAGCCATTAGGAACAACAAGAGTGGAGTAAGCTATGCAGTTGCAAATAAAACATTTTAAATGTGTTGTGAAGTGCAATATACAAGTGTGACACTAGATGGCGAAAGTGAGCTATGCAAAATGCAATGTATTTTTCAAAATGTTTTTAATAGGCTTTTTCACAATGTTTTTTTTTAAAAAATATGTGTGTAGATCCCACCAGCGTAGCCCCATCTGCAATTTATTTATTTATTTATTTATTTATTTATTTATTTATTATTTCTATAACACTCTTCATCCAAAGATCCCAAGGCACTTTACCATATAAAGACACAGAAATACATACCACAGTAACAAACAAAACCAATACACCCTCAACAGTTTAATTAGCCAAAGGTCTAGAAGAAGAGGAATGCCTTTGGCTGGCAACTAAACTATACATAATGAAGGCACCTGGTGAGCTTCCCTGGTGAGCGCATTCCACATGCAGGGAGCCAGTGCAGAAAAGGCCTGTTATTGTGCTGCCACCCCCCAGACCTCACAAGGAGGAGGCTCACGATGAAGGGCCTCAGATGATGGTTGCAGGGTCTGAGTTGCTTCATATGTAGAGAGAGGTGGTCCTTGAGGTATTTTGGTCCTGAGCCATTTAAGGCTTTATAGGTCAAAACCAGCATTTTGAATTGGGCCCGGAAACTAATTGGCAGCCAATACAGTCAGGCCAGGATCAGTGTAATATGCTCAAACCATCTTACCCTGGTGAGCGATCGAGCCGCCAAATTCTGTACCAGCTGAAGTTTCCAAACCATCTTCAGGACAGCCCCATACATTGCAGCAATCTAACTTTTAGGTTACCAGAGCACAGACAACAGAAGGTAGGCTATCCCTGTTCAGACAGGGGTGGGCCACAAACAGAAGCTGATGGAAGGCACTCTGTACCACAGACACAATGATACCAATTTAAACAGTCAAAATCCTGGGAACTGTAGTGGATTAAGGATGCTAAGTGTTGTCTGCACACCCCTATTGCCCTCAGAGAGTGACAATTCCCAGAGTAATGTAAAAAATGAACTCTGAGAACTGTAGTCCTCTGATAGGAATAGGGGTCTCCTACAGCTCTCAGCACCCTTTGAGGGAAGCTACGTCTGTTTAAAGTGGCATGATACAGCTTTAAATGAATGGTGCAGATGGGGACCTTAAAGACAGAGAATAAACCAGGCATGTGTTATTTCCCAAGTATTCACAGCAGAAAACTCCTGAACCAGAGCAGTCAGTCTGGCAGAGATTGGAACAGGCTGGCACAGAAAGATTGGCTCCAGACCTACCAAGGCTGACAAATAAATGCTGGGTTTGATTGGCTGCCCTCTCAATTTCTCCCTGGCTCACATGTATTGCAAAGCAAATAAAAAATAAATAAACTTTCTTCACCTATTCTTGGCTGACTTCCAGTCCCTGGCTGGATTACATCTTGTCTGCCCTACACAGGACTGCTGCGGGGGGTAAATTCAGAGGGTGGATTGAAAATGGTTTGCAAAGCAAACAGAGAAGCAGATGCTCTGGTTGCCATCTTGTCACAGCAACCTTCAGATACATCACAGGTCTTATCCACAACCTCTCAATGTGTGTGAGAGAGAGTGAGTGAGTGAGTGAGTGAGTGAGAATAAATCCAGTTCTCATTTAAAGGCAAACCTACATAATTTGCACTTTCTGAAATAATACCTGAGCAAACACAGCATCCTTTGAAATTTGCCAATCTCTGTATTTTGAGATGCTGTTCTTTACCCAACTCATATGTATAATGCCGGAACACACCGGAACTCAGTTCCGGCACCTCTCAGGTGGGCGCCATTGTCATTCTAAGAGACTGAGGGAGGTGTTCACGATGAGTTCTGGCACCTCTTTTTCTAGAAAAATAGCACTGCATATACTCAGGCGAGGTGTGCATAAGAATGCACCCATTAGTGAAAACAGCAGACCAAAACCCATTATGGAAAGGACAGCTGCTTTGCAAAAATGTGCCATAGTTATCTATATATGTGTGCATATTAGGAATTTGCACTAAAATGCTGGTGAACTTCCACAACATTTTTAAAAAGGAAATGTCTGAGGGCAACCGCTCAGCATCAGATTTATTTTCCCTCCTCTTTCATTCTCCTCACAAACGGCTTCTCTCACACACCTTATCTCCCCACACAGGTGAAAAAGCATCTGGCATGCCTTCTGGTGTTTACCTCTCCATCTACCTGCTCACCATCCTGACGGGCTTTCCCACCAACCTTCTGGCCCTGTATGCCCTCATCAAGAAGCTGAAGACCAAGGCCACGCCCAACTGTGTCCTCCTCCTCAACCTCACTGTTTCTGACCTCTGCTTCCTGGCTTTCCTGCCCTTCAAGGTGGCAGAGGCGGTTGCCGGGCAGTGGCCTCTGCCCGCTCCCCTATGTCCCCTCAGCGGCCTCTTCTACTTCAGCACCATCTACTCCAGCACCCTCTTCCTCACGGCGGTGAGCGTGGAGCGCTACCTGGGCGTGGCCTACCCCATCCACTACAAGCTGAGGCGCCATTCGGCCTACGCGGCTGTGGCCAGCCTAGGCCTCTGGGCCTGCTCCTTTGCCCATTGCAGCATTGTGTACATCACTGAGTTTCAGCCATACAACAACACAGAGCCAGACAACGGCTCCCATAAGAACTGCTATAAGAACTTCACAGATGTCCAGCTCGCCATCCTGCTCCCCGTCCGCCTGGAGCTTGGCATCGTCCTCTTCCTGGTCCCATCCTTGCTCACTTGCTTCTGCTACTTTGGCTTCATGAGGATCGTGATCTCCTCGCCGCACATCCGCAGGAGCAAAAAGCAGCGAGCCGTGGGGCTGGTGTCGGCCACGTTAGCCGTCTTCATCGTCTGCTTCTCGCCTTACAACATCTCCCACGTGGTGGGCTTCATCCAGTGGGAAGATCCACGGTGGAGGGATGAAGCCTTGCTGCTCAGCACCTTCAATGCCAGCTTGGATCCGGTCATCTTCTACTTTTCTTCCTCTGCAGTGCAACGTTCATGCTGGGGCTTCCTGACCCGGGTAGAGAGGGTCTGTGCCTTGCCTTCAGTGATCCGCAAGGTGTTCTATAGAGAGAGTGAAAAACTGGGGAGAGCAGGCCCCCAGGAGGCAGTTTGCTGTTCCAGGTTATGACCATCTACATCTATGGACATGACCAGAGACTGAGACTTTCTTTGTGGGCCAAGCAGATACTACAACATTTGATTTAAGTCTGACAGAAATGGCTCCAGGCCCCCGAAACTGAAATCTCAGTATCATGCACCTCTGCAGTTTCTGCACCTCTGAGGCTAGCTGGACTGTGCCCAGAGAAGCTCCATAAGTCCTTTTCCACGCTGGGTTGAGGAATCATGGAATTGTAGAGTTGGACATCTAGTCTAACCCCTTGCAATGCAGGAATCTTTTGCCCAACATGGGGCTTGAACCCACAACCCCAAGATTAAAGGTTTTAATGCTCTACCAATTAAGCCTCTCCCCTCTTGGTTCTTGAAGGCTAGAAGTAATGATGGGTGAGAGCCACTTCCCTCCAGTTTTATTTTGAATATGTTTTGAAGAAAATAAGTTTAATTTGGTGAGTGCATGTAGGATGCAAGATCATTCTGACTAGGCACCACTGTCATGAGCTCCACAAGGCATGGGGCTGACCCTTCTCCATGGGGCTGTCCCTTCTGGTCCTGTTAGCTAGGGATGGTGGGAGCTGCAGTCCCAAAACATCTGGAGGGCCGAGTTCACCTATGCCTGCCCTAGGCACTGCTCTGATAGTTATGGAGGAGACAAATAAATCAGGAGCCATGAGAAATCATAGAATCATAGAATCATAGAGTTGGAATAGACCACAAGGGCCATCGAGTCCAACCCCCTGCCAAGCAGGAAACACCATCAGAGCACTCCTGACATATGGTTGTCAAGCCTCTGCTTAAAGACCTCCAAAGAAGGAGACTCCACCACACTCCTTGGCAGCAAATTCCACTGTCGAACAGCTCTTACTGTCAGGAAGTTCTTCCTAATGTTTAGGTGGAATCTTCTTTCTTGTAGTTTGGATCCATTGCTCTGTGTCCGCTTCTCTGGAGCAGCAGAAAACAACCTTTCTCCCTCCTCTATGTGACATCCTTTTATATATTTGAACACGGCTATCATATCACCCCTTAACCTCCTCTTCTCCAGGCTAAACATGCCCAGCTCCCTTAGCCGTTCCTCATAAGGCATCGTTTCCAGGCCTTTGACCATTTTGGTTGCCGTCCTCTGGACACGTTCCAGTTTGTCAGTGTCCTTCTTGAGCTGTGGTGCCCAGAAATGGACACAGTACTCCAGGTGAGGTCTGACCAGAGCAGAATACAGTGGCACTATTACTTCCCTTGATCTAGATGCTATACTCCTATTGTTGCAGCCCAGAATTGCATTGGCTTTTTTAGCTGCCGCATCACACTGTTGGCTCATGTCAAGTTTGTGGTCAACCAAGACTCCTAGATCCTTTTCACATGTACTGCTCTCAAGCCAGGTGTCACCCATCTTGTATTTGTGCCTCTCATTTTTTTTGCCCAAGTGCAATACTTTACATTTCTCCCTGTTAAAGTTCATCTTGTTTGTTTTTGCCCAGTTCTCTAATCTGTCAAGGTCGTTTTGAAGTGTGATCCTGTCCTCTGGGGTGTTAGCCACCCCTCCCAGTTTGGTGTCATCTGCAAATTTGATCAGGATGCCCTTGAGTCCATCATCCAAGTTGTTGATAAAGATGTTGAATAAGACCAGGCCCAAGACAGAACCCTGTGGCACCCCACTAGTCACTCTTCTCCAGGATGAAGAGGAACCATTGATGAGCACCCTTTGGGTTCAGTCAGTCAGCCAGTTACAAATCCACTGAGTGGTAGCATAGTCAAGACCGCATTTTACCAGCTTCTTTACAAGAATATCATGGGGCACCTTGTCAAATGCCTTGCTGAAATCAAGGTAGGCTACATCCACTGCGTTTCCTTCATCTAGCAGGCTTGTAATTCTGTCAAAAAACGAGATCAGGTTAGTTTGACATGACTTATTTTTCAGAAATCCATGCTGACTATTGGTGATCACAGCATTCCTTTCTAGGTGCTCACAGACTGTTTGCTTAATGATCTGCTCCAGAATCCTCCCTGGTATTGATGTCAGACTGACTGGGCGATAATTATTTGGGTCCTCTCTTTTGCCCTTTTTGGAAATAGGGAAAACATTTGCCCTCCTCCAGTCTGCCGGGACTTCGCCTGTTCTCCAGGAATTCTCAAAGATGACTGCCAGTGGTTTCTGAGATCACATCTGTCAGTTCTTTTAATACTCTTGGATGCAGTTCATCTGGCCCTGGAGACTTGAATACATCTAAACTAGCCAAGTATTCTTGTACTATCTCCTTAGTTATTCTGGGCTGTGTTTCCTCTGCTAAATCATTTGCTCCAAATTCTTCAGGTCGGGCATTGTTTTCTTTAAATGTTCCCATGGCTCCTGATATCCTGGATGCTGCTCCACATGTTCCTAGCGGCATTGTGGAGATGGTTCACAGCAGGGTGAGGTGCTTGGTGATGCCTAGCAGAGACTCTTATTCTTCAACTATTTCCAAAAAGGGATGATGTGACACTGAGCTCCTTCTATTTTCCTTGCTCTGCTGGAAAGGGGCATATATGTGCTTTTCGGCACTCTGACTCATTGCTGGAAAAGGATTTTCTGAAGAAACAAGGACTCTGTTCGCTGCCACAAATAACACCAAGTGTTAAAACTGTAGAGAATCATGTTCCATGTTTGTGTGTGGTCGTGTTGGATGGGTGGGGGGCCAGATCCCATCGAAAGTGACTTCACAAAATAAGGAGGGTGCACATCTCCCCAAGGAGGGTGGGAGGACCTGAATGCATATTGTCTACTTTGCATGTTAACCCATCAGTGCCAAAAGAGGAAATACGATTCTACGGTTCATGCCTTGGCACTTTCTTTTTTTCGTTTTTTGTCATGTTTGAAGCTGCTCTCAAGATGTGTGAGAAATCTAAGAGGCCGTTTGGGCAGCCATGGTGGTCCCAATGTGGCCTGTTAACACCTCCCAGAGGACATGTGAGGAAGCCCATCCTTTTTACTGAATGCAAGTAATTTGAAGTGGCAAGATGCAGTGAACCCGTGTAACACAAGCAGGAGTTGCTAAGGAGTGTGGGAATGCTCAGGGTGGCAGGAGAGGATATATTGTTTATTAATATCCTTCCTAACTTGTGCTAGCAAGTCCCTTTAATTAGCAGAGTTTACTTTCCCCCTTCTAACATGCAGCAGATAGCTGGTTGCAGGCTTGTGTAAGCCTCTTACTATCATACAATTCATTATTGAATTGTATGTTCCTGATAAGTTCCCCTTTATCCCTCTTAAAAGAATAATGACAATCTTATTTAAAGTCACTAAAAGAAGTTTACTCACATTCAGTTCACAGTTGGATCCCTGAAGGCAGACTTAGTTACAAATATGTACATGTGGATCTACCCCATATTGGGGGGGGAGTTAAGTCCAGTGACTGCAGACTGGCGAAAGGAAGATGGAAAAGAGAGAGAGTGGTAGCATGCCTTGTCCTTTTGTTACCTGGACAGGTAAGGTCACGCCCACATCTAGTCACATGCAAAGGAAGGATGCTCCAGTCAGGAGGAAATAGGAAGTTTTCGACTGGCCTGGACCAAACATTCCCCCGCATGTCTTCTCTAGGAAAACAAAGAATGTTGTATTTGACTGCTCCCAGTGGATTACATCCCACAAGGACTGATGGTTAATGTTAACCGTAATTAATAAACCATAGGTAAAGCAGACATGGATTATTATAAAAAAAAAAACATGACCAGCAAGCTTTGAGAGCTTTTTGAAACTTTTGCTGCTTCTCACTCATGGCTCTGTTGTTTTGGGGGCAGTGATAGCTCCTTAACCATTGTTCAGTGAAACGGCCAGGTTTACATGTAAAAGGAACTTTATGAACCAAATACAACCCTTGGTTAATAGTTACTCAACCATTGCTAAGCTACTGTGCTAGGTTCACATAAGCCATGGTGAGGACCAGGGGTAAAAGATGGATAAAGAACAGGACTGCTCTACCATTAGGCAGAGTGAGGCAGTTGCCTCAGGTGGCAAATGCTGGAGGTCCACCAACCATTGTCCCATAAGGGAACCTGTATTTGCTGTGTTTGTGCTTAAGAGCGTTACTTTTTATTGTGATAATGTGGGTCTCCTTTATAAAACAAATAAATAATGACCCCAAAAACATCCCAGCTCAAAGCCAAATTTTTTTCAAGGCCTCCTTAAAAGCCAGAACTGATGGGGTTAACTATATCCTTCAGGAAGGAGTTCTACAGTTTGGAGGACACCACCAAGAAAGCCCTGCTTATCAAACTGAATCTGATCTTGCGGCACAAACAGCAGTGGCAAACCTGCCAGAGCAAACCTCTTAACAGTATAATCAGCCAGACTGATGAGCTGTAAGGGCTGGATCAGGCTTGGAGAGATTTAGCTCACGGGGATATATCTCTGCTTCCCCTGAAGTTCAAAGTACCTAATTACAGTGGTACCTTTGGTTGTCAAACTTAATCTGTTCCGGAAGTCTGTTCCAAAACCAAAGCGTTTCCAAAACCAAGGCGTGCTTTCCCATAGAAAGTAATGCAAAATGGATTAATCCGTTGCAGACTTTTAAAAACAACCCCTAAAACATCGATTTAACATGAATTTTACTATCTAATGAGACCATTGATCCATAAAATGAAAGCAATAAACAATGTACTGCAGTCACACAATCAATCAATCAATCAATCAGTAGCTGAACTGGGTTCCACACAGTCACAAAAACAAACCAAAAGGGTTGCAAAAACAAAACTAATAATAATATAATAATAAATAATAAAACAAAAACAAAATAAATAGCAAAAAACAGACCTCAACGTAACACTCAAAACGGAAGTGTGGCACTCAAATCGGAAGCATAACACTCAAAATGGAGGAGGTTCGGCTTCCAAAAAAAGTTTGCAAACCGGAACACTTACTCCCCGGTTTGCAGTGTTTGGGTTCCAAGTTGTTTGAGTGCCAAGGCGTTTGAGAACCAAGGTACCACTGTAGTGATTTGACAGGCACCGCTGAGCCAGGAAAGAAGTGACAGACTAAAGAGGTTGACACACAGAGAGACCTTTGGAAAACAGCCTTTGGAAGCCACATGTTTATTATCCTAGAGATCATAACCCTTTCATGGTGATGCAGAGTGGCTCAAGGAGTGATGCATAAGCATATCAGAGGGTGAATATGGGGGGTGGCGGTATTTCCTCTTTTTAAATTTGTTTCTTTAAATTGCATTTAAGGCAGTCTGTTTGGATGGAACCGGCTGGGACCAGGGCAAGGTGGGGGGGAAGATTGTGGCCTGATCCTCCTCGCTTTCTTCCTTTACACCTGGAAACCGATTGAAGTGACCAAAGGTGAAGGATGGAACAAGGGTGGGTGAAGAGAGAAGAGGGATGATTTCTAGGTTCATTGATTCCCTTTATCTCTCCTCCCTTCCTGAGCCTCTCTCCCATTGTACACACACAATTCAGCTGTCGCAACCTCCAGGGGGAGGTTAAGAAAATGCAATTAGCTGATGTTTGCAAAGCACTTGTAGCTCTTAGATGAGATGGTAATGTGATAA